GGGGGGGGGACAGAACTGGACACAATACTCCAGATGTGGCCTCACCAGAGCCGAATAAAGAGGAATAATCACACCTCTGGATCTACTGGCAATGTTCCTCTTAATGCACCCTAATATGCCATTAGCCTTCTTGGCTACAAGGGCACACTATTGACTCATATCTAGCGTCTCATCCACTGTAACCCCCAGGTCCTTTTCTGCAGAGCTGCTACTTAGCCAGTTGGTCCCCGGCCTGTAACTATGCTTGGGATTCTTCTGTCCCAAGTGCAGGACTCCACACTTGTCCTTGTTGGACCTCATCAGATTTCTTGTGGCCCAATCCTCCAATTTGTCTAAGTCACTCTGGGCCCTATCTCTGCCCTCCAGTGTATCTACCTCTCCCCCCAGCTTAGTGTCATCCGCAAACTTGCTGAGGGTGCAATCCATCCCCTCATCCAGGTCATTAATAAAGATGTTGAACAAAACCAGTCCCAGAACCGAACCTTGGGGCATTCCACTAGAAACCGACCGCCATCCTGACATCGAGCCGTTGATCACCACCCGCTGGCAGTGATCAACGGTGTGGGGCTAGAAGATCCATGGATGCTGGATGCCCCACTCTGACACTGTCAATTGCTATCACACATGATCAAGCCCTAGCTGCCGGAATGGTGCACAGTTATCTGCCTTGGGCGTTGGCATCTGGCAAAACATTAGGGCCAGAAGAAAAATTTTTGAATCCAATCTCAGCCTACCTGAGAATGGGGTTTCATTACTGTCTGTTTCTAAGGGAAGCAGGGTGATTTAGAAGGGGCACATCCCCCATGCTATGGGTGGGAAGGGCAAGATACCAAGCAGCAGGACCAGAGTTCCTGGGCATCTGAAGGGGACTAGCAGCAGGGCCTGGTGCCCTCCCGCACTCACCGGCAGCAGCACGGATGTGGAGCAACACAGCCCTGGTTCACCGTGCTGTTCCAGTGCATTGCTCGGGGCAGGGGCGGGACCGCCCCTGCACTCACTGGCGCGAAGTGGAGCGATGCACCTGGGGGAGCAGAGCAAGGTGGGGCTGAGTTGCTCTGCCTCCCCCACTGCTCCATGTGGGAGGGGGGCAGACCCCTGCTGGGGGCACCGGCCCCCTGGCCCCGCTATTCCCCTGGCCCACAGGGGGAAGATGGGGGCAGAGCAAAGGTGGGGAAGAGGTGGGGTGGGGTTGCAACAAGGATGGGAAGGGAGCAGAGCTGGGGCAGGGAGAGATGGGGCCTGAGGTGGAGAGGGGTTGTCCCTGGCCCTTTCCCAGGCTGGGAAGGAGGGGGTTGTGTGGCTGGTGTCCCCGGCCCCACACAGCCCCAGCCCTGCACAGCTGAGGGAAGCTGCAGGGCCCCGTCCCTGTGCAGCCGGGGAAGACGTGAGGCTCTGGCCCCGCACTCCCGGGCCATGTTCCTTCTAAACTGCGCTGGAGCACAGCTTCACGGGTGATAAATCAGCCTCACCCAGCCAGAGGCTCAGGGGTCTGTGCACGGAGCTGACTGACTGGGCGGGGCTGATTAATCCCCTGTGAAACAGTGCTGCCCTGCAGCTTACAGGGAACACGGCTCCTGGGGGCTGCTGGAAGGCTCCAGCCCTGCCCTGCGCCCAGCCAGGCTGCTGACTCTGATGTACCACCTGGCTGGCCCTCCTGCCCTTAAGCTCCCGGGCTGTCTGCTGCAGGAGCGCTATGGTCCTGCCGGACAACGGATGTTGCCAGACCGGAGAGTCCCGGATTTTGGAGGCACAACCTGTACTAGAGTTTCCCACGGGACAGACAGTCTTAATTTTTGATCAGCATCATGAAACCATCTCCTTGGTGTTTAATATGACAAGCTCCTAATTCTATTGTTTACCCCCCTCCTCAGCTATCTAGTGCACTCCCTTAGCTCAAAGCAAAGCTTAATAAGCCCAGAGAGCAAGAGGTCTCACTTAGCCAATCATTTCCACCAAGTTCAATCAGCAACTGGAACGGAATCAACCCAACGTTTGGACAATTCCCTCACCTCCTTTTTAGTGGGGTCCACGCCTTCTGGAAGTTCCTCCATTGTCTTGTGGAGCAGCACCTCTCTGGGGTAGGCTCCATTCCCATTGGTCACCACCGAAGGGGCATTGTTGTTGTGATGGTTGCTGGTGCTATTGACGCTGTTGTTGGGGTGTGGTTTATAGGCAGGTAAAGTTCTCGCCCCTTCGGAACCAGCAGGGCTGGAAGTTTTATTGTTTGCATTCTTCTTGTTCAGGTTGGCGTTGTTAAGATCCTGCGGGGTACAGGGAATCTTGTCAGTACAGCAAGGCTGGGCCGGGGCTACAGACTTTGTGGTTTCCTGGGATGTTCATTTCTGCCTCAGGCAGGTGGGACTTTTCTTAGGATGTGAGACGTTGGGTTAAAAATAACAAAGTGGGGGCCAGGAACCACTGGCCCATTGCTTAAGGACCCTCAATCTGTGGCGAGAATGTGTAGCCCATAATGTTACTCAGTAGAGCAGTTTCCCACCAATCATCAGACATTACATCATGGCCTTAGGTTCAGGGGTCACAGTGAACATGAGCTCCCCGTGTGACTCTGTGGCCAAAAAAAAAAAAGAAAGTGAATGTAGTCCTGGGATGTATAAATTGGGGCACCTTGAGTGGGAGTTGAGAAATTACTTTACCTCTCTATTTGGCCCAGGTGTAACCACTACTGGGATATTATGGCTGGTTCTGGTGCCCACAATTCAAGAAGGATGTTGATAAATTGGAGAGAATTCAGGAAAGGGTCGACAGAATGGTTAAAGCATAGAAAACATCTCTTATTGAGACTGACCCCAAGAGCTCAGTCTATTTAGCTTAAAGAGAAGTTTAAGGGCTGACTTTATCACAGTCTATAAGCACCTACTTGGGGAGCAAATACTTCACAATGGGCTCTTCAGTCTAATAGAGAAAGGTCGAACACCATCCAGTGGCTGGAAGTGGTAGCGAGACAAATTCAGATGGGAAACAAAGCAGAAATGTTCACGGTGAGAATAATTAACCACTGAAATAATTTACCGAGGGGAAACATGGATTCTCCAGCACTGACCGTTTTTAAACCAAGATGGGATGTTTTCCTAACAGCTCTGTTTTAGGAATGACTGTGGGGCAGCTCTCTGGTCTGTGTCATATCGGTCAGATTAGATGATCACAGTGGTCCTGTCTGGCCTGGGAATCTAAGCATCTTCTATTTACCAACTGCAACTGGTTCTTTTTACTCGGGTTGCAGAATCAAGCTTTTAGCCAGGATAGCACAGGTCAAATCCAGCTGTTAATCCAGTGACAAATTCTGCATCCACTCACCACCGTGATCTCTGATATACCCGACACATCTCCTAAGCTGCTCTTCATCTCCTCGTAAGACTTGCCATCCTAAAAAGGCAAAGAGAGGGATGAGAATCAGGTACAGCGAAAGGGCCGCTTTTATTTCAAGTTCAAGCTACAGATCCCACTGTACTGCTCCTCAAGCCAGCAGCTAGGTCAATACCACATGGGTGGCAGAATCCCAGGAATTGCTGCGGCAAGACAAAAACCAGGAGCAGCTTTGAGATTTGCATCAGTCTCCGAGTGAATTAAGAACTCAGGCTGCATCGTTGGATGCGTTAGTACGTACGGAACGGCATGGCTCCGGGGCAGGATGCACTTTACATCCTTTGCTATGGCCTCCATTTATCTCCTGCCTGTTCGTCAGGGGATGGGTAGGATCTGGGATCAAACACAATAGCATGGCTCCTCTGCACGGTCTCTGGGGTTCCCCTAGGATCTGCTAATTTTGGGGATCCTAATCACCTGCCCCTTCTACAAGGGTGAGCAAATTCCATCCTCACCCCAGAAAGAATTTGTAGTAATCCCCCGCAGTGCAGAATAGGGACATTCCCTATTCCTGAACAGGAATAACTAGTGTAGCTGGCTCTGAACACAGAATGAGATGCTGGACCTAAACTGCTTGTCTTTAACTAGAGCTAGGCAAGCTTAGAATCAGGGTTTTGATTAAAATATTCAGATTTTCAACTATTAGTTTTCCCCCCCAAAAAATATGCATGTCATTGAAAATGTGTTGGAAAAACGTTTGAACAAATATTTCACCTAGTTAGGATACATCCCAAATGACATTCTCACAAGTTTTTACTCTCATACAGGAGAGAACAGGTACAGCTCCAACCACTGCTACTTAATATATATATTTTCAGACAGACACACGGAGTTCATAGTCACTTACGCTCCACTTATACGGATCCCAAGCACTGAACCAGCCTGTGAAGGTGAGGGGTTCGTAGCCTTGCTTCACCATTATTATTGGTGTTGCTAAGTCTCTTCCAGCGGGATGGGTCTTCAGATACTCTTTGGCTGAGGAAATAGCCTCATTTTTTTCATATGTATTGGAGGCTTTGCCAATCCAAAGGAAAACCTACAAAGGGAGAAGGGAGAAGACGAGCGAATGGTAAGAACCACCGGAGACATGGATGGATAGTCTCCCTTTTTATTCATAATAGTGATTATGGGACATCAGAGCAAGCAAGGCGCACGTCTGGGGCAAAACCCAGTTTGTTGGTAGTTCCCTGCCCTGGTCAAATTATTTCCTGGAAGCAAATTATATATTAACATGATGGGCTGGTGGGTGTCCTAAGAAGCATGTGTAGCTCCGTAATGGGTGCCATACCGTGCTGTGTCAGCAGCAAAGTGGGTTCCAAGATGGCGCTGTTCAGGGCTCATTAGTCAGTCACAGAAAATGCCGTTAGTCACACTAAAGATGAGTCTACAGCAGAACCATGAAATCGGCCTCCTTGGGATGTTGGGGTTCCAACTGGAATTGCTGGTTCTGAAACAGTCCTTGGTTCTGGACTGACTGACTCCGAAATCAGCAGGGGCCTGTTTCCCCATGGTGAGTCTTTGCTCTCTACACAGCAGCAAGACTATGGGGAAACCAGGCGGTGTATAGACATACAAGACCGAGCCACCGCTGCATGCTGCGGCTCTGGCAGGGCTCTGTTGTCCACACATGTAGAAGACAGGCAGGTGGCACTAAAGGGCTCCCAAACTATTTAAAGGGATACGACGTAGTGCCTACAGATAGAATAATAAAATCCTAGAACTGGATGGAAACTTGAGAGGCCATCAAGACCAGGCCTCTGCCCTCATGGCAGGACCAGGCACGGTTTAGATCGGGGTGGGCAAAATTTTTTGACTAGGAGTCACTTCAAAAATTGTTGAAGTGGTCCTGGGCAGCCCTGGAAGGGGCAGGGTCTCAGGCAGAAGGGGCGGGGCCAGGCCACTTCCTTGCTTCCCCACTTTCAGACCCTTATTGGGCTGGGGGAATATGCAAAGTCTTTGCCGCTCCCCCTCCCCAGACAGAATCACCAGCTGTTCTGAACAGCTTGCGGTTCCCTCTAGTTACCCAGGCGCCTGGCAGTGGGAGGAGACTTTGTGCGCTCCCCTCTGCTTCCCCAGGTCAGTCAGGGCCTGGGGAGGGGGAGCACGTGAGGTGTCTCACCCCTGCCCCACCCTGTAAGGGAGCGCCGCGCTTAGAGTCACCCACCAGCTGAGTAGCCCCTGGCAGTTGACTAAGTGCTGAGCCCCTTGCAGGGCGGGAGGAGACTTCACACGCTCCCCCTGCCCCCAAGCTCTGATTCTAAGCACCCCACATTCCTTACGGGGGGGGGAGGAGACTTCATGCACTTTCCTCCTGCCCCCAGACCCTGATTGGCGTAGGGACAGGGGGAGTGGCAGGGCCTACACGGGCCGGATGAACTCGCTTGTGCAGAGGCCCTTTTGCCCACCCCTGATCTAGCTCATCCCTGACAGGTGTCTGTCTAACCTGCTCTTAAATATCTCCAGGGATGGAGATGCCACAACCCCCCCTAGGAAACTTATTCCAGTGTTTAACCACCCTGACAGGTAGGAAGTTTTTCCTAATGTCCAACCTAAACCTGCCTTGCTGCAATTTAAGCCCATTGCTTCTTGTCCTATCCTCAGAGGCCAAGGAAAACAATTTTTCTTCCTCCTCCTTGTAACAATCTTCTGTCCTCTAAAATTTAGGCCGAGCTTTGATCACTGGCTTTAGATCAGGTTGGGCAAGAGGTGGCTAGTGGGCCGGATCTGGCCCGCAGCCGCCTCACCAGTACTCTTACTACAGAGCAGCTGCAGGCGCTTCAAACAGCAGGCTACTAATTGCTATGCCATCTGGGCAGGCTGGAGAAAATTGTGTGTGCCGTCCCTGACTCCTAGCAAAATCCCTCAGCTCCCATTGGCCAGTTTCCAGCCAATAGGAGCTGAGAAATGTTGCTGAAGGCAGGGGCACAGAATGAAGCCTCCTCCCTCTCTCCCTCCCCCCATGTGCTGGAGCAGAACCACGTGGAGCAGCCCAGGTAAGCACCTCCCAGCCTGCCTCTGGCATCCCATCCTCTCTTTCCCCCCAATTATCTGCCCCAGGCCATCACCCAAACCCTCTGTATCCCCTCTCTCCACCTCCTCCAGGTCACAGCTCCCTCCCAGAACCTGCACCCCTCCCACAGGTCAGAATCCTCTCTTACACCCACACCCCCTCCTGAACCCTGCACCCCAAGCCCTGCCCCAGATAACCCTCTTCTTCACCCAAACTCCCTCTCAGACCCCACACTCCCTCCTGCACCCCAGTCCTCTACCCCACACTCCCTTCCACACCCCACCTGCTGTCCCAGACCCTGCGTCCCCTCCACAGAAATGCAGCCCTTGACTACTCCAAAATCTTGGCGTGCCCCCCCATTACAAATTATTGCCCACAACTGCACTAGATGATCTCTAATGGACTCATTTGGCCTTAAAAATCTACTGATTGTAGTTTTAGCTCTGCCACTGATCTCAAGGGATTTGGCAGCTGAGCTCCCTCAGGCCCCTTTGAAAATCCCAGGCACAGCGCCTGTTTCTTATCTGCCAAATGGGTCTAACACTCTGAGGGTATGTCTACACTACCCCGCTAGTTCGAACTAGTGGGGTAATGTATGCATACCGAATGTGCAAATGAAGCCCAGGATTTGAATTTCCCGGGCTTCATTTGCATAAGCCGGCCGGCGCCATTTTTAAATGCCGGCTTGTTCGAACCCCGTGCCGCGCGGCTACACGCGGCACGGCCTAGATAGTTCGAATTAGCAAGCCATTCCGCAGTATCTGTACACCTCGTTCCACCTCCCTCTACCCATCA